CTGTCCACTGTCTCAGTGCTGATCTGTCTGGAACTCAATCCTGGGCAGGAGCCCAGAAGCTTTCATCTGCTCAGGACTCCTGGTGAACTTCCAGTCAGTGATTGTGGGGGAGTAGCGACAAGAGTGGGACAAGGAACTGGGAGAAATAGCTCTTGCTGAAGATTCTAGTCCTGGGCATACAAGACAAGCTCCACTGCTCCACTGCAGCTCAGAGACAGGAAATGAACAGAGACCAGACGTCTTCAGAAGTTAGTCCAAACTCAGAGAAGCCATTGTTCATGGACCGGCACAATGCCTCACAGTCTAACACTCGGGAAGATCAATCACACGTTTCTGTCCTCCTAGAGCCAGTGTGGGCTGCAAATGAAGAAACTGCTGCTGCCATGGGCAGGCTTAAAGGATTTTCAAGGCAAAGGGCAAACCTCACTGACTGGCTGTGTGGGCATGGTGAGTTCAGTGGAGAGAAATGGCTCTGTATCTGGGCCAGGCAGACTCTAGCTGGACTGCATCTCCTTCTGTTTGCCCAGCTGTGGGGGCAACTATGGGTAGGTGGCAGAGCCCTAGGCTGGTGGTGGGAGATCAACACTCCAATCTTGGATCCACCATAGGCTATCTATGAGATAGCCTTGGGCAAGCTGCTTAGCTGTAAGTCTCTGTTGCCCCATCCACAAGTGGGATGGCCATCCCGATCTTATGAAGCATGAGGTGGGAAATGAATGTGAAGTGCTCATCAGAAGGCCTGGCCCACAGGGAGCTCTCAAGTTTACAAGTATCACACAGTAACTTCCTACACCAGCCAGCTGGCATTCAGCCCAAGGATCCAGTTTAGGAAGGAAGATAGAGGAGGGAAGAATGGGAGTGATCATTGATCAGCATTATCAGGAGAGATTAGGGGGACCAAATCTGGGCCATCAGAACAGAGTCACAGTGATAACACTAATGGGCACTGAGTCACATCACCCAAGTCTGCATCGCTTCCCTCATCAGCTCTGACATCTCGGGCATATTGCTTAACCTTTTCAACCTGAGTCTCCTCATCTGTATGATGGAGGTAATTACAGTCTCTCTGGTAAAAGGTTGCTGTGAAGATTAAATAAGATCAGTTAGCCAGAGTGTCTGGGTCATAGCCAGCCTTTGATAGGTGTTCCTAGCATCCTGAGGCCTATCAGACAGTGGTGTCTTAGCTCCTCCCTGGAGACCACCAGCTGACATTGCCCAGCAGCCAACTTCCTCTTTCCTCTGCTGGGCCGACTTCCTTCCATGCCTGGCCTGTGGGGCCTGTGACAGCCATGGAGACTCAGGAGTGGCAAAGGACCTTTTCAGAAAGCTAATTCCTCTCTTCCCTGCTAATGAGCAAGGGAGCCAGAAGCCCAATGATCCTGTTGGAAGAACATGGGTTTTAATGTCCACGAGATGTGAATTCCAGACCTGACTCTGCCACCTTAATCAATTTATTCTACCCTATCTATTGATGCTTACGTGGAGGGACCTTGAGCAAATTATGGACCTTTCTGGGTCTTGGCTCTATCACTTGACAAAATGGAATCAAGATATCTATGCTGGAGGGTTGTGAGAAGGATCCGCAAGGATGTCAGCATGTGCCTGCCTCTATGTAGAATTACACTAAACCATCTAAAGGGACGAAATTCAGTTCTATTTTTGAGCCTTCCCTCGGGGCCCGGTTACAGTATTTAAGGACCCATGTTAACGCTGTCATGAACATCCCATCAATTCTCTCCAGCTCAGAGAAGCATGACATGCAGTTCTGGCCATAGTGTGGCCCTTGGAGGGCACCCTCCAGGCCCCGGCACCTCATCTTCCCTGGACCAGATTCTTGAGTCCTTTCATAAGAGGCAGTGAGGACTCTGTGTCAAGACCTGGATGGGAACAGACATCTCCCTTCCTTGGTAAGTACGACTTCACTGCTGGTGCCTGCGGCCATGTTGAAATATGTGCTCAGTGAGGCCCAGCCTCGCTGAAGCCAAGCGGGCTGGGGACCTGGTCACTATGGAGTTCAGCCCTCCCACAGCCCCACTGGGAGCAGGAAATATTGTTCACAACCAGAAGAAAATGAGCTCTGTTCTTCAGGAACCTGAGTTAAAATATTCTGAGTGTCTTTCTGGCATTTTCACTTTTCAATGCTGCTTTTAAGAATTCAGAAGGCAGGGGCCAGCCCGCTGGTGTAGTGGTTGGGTTCATGTGCTCCGCTTCAGCTGCCCCAGGGTTTGCGGGTTCGGATCCCGGGCACAGACTTACACACAGCCCATTAAGCCATGCTGTGGCAGCATCCTACATACAAAATAGAGGAAGATTGGCACAGATGTTAGCTCAGGGACAATGTTCCTCAAGCAAAAAGAGAAAGATTGGCAACAGATGTTAGCTCAGGGACAATGTTCCTCAAGCAAAAAGAGAAAGATTGGCAACAGATGTTAGCTCAGGGACACTCTTCTTTTCCAAAAACAAAAAAGAAAAAAAAGAATTCAGAAGGCAAATGATCTTCAAAATCATGAGAGTGTGTGTGTGCACGTGTGTGCACATGTGTGCATGTTTACTGGCTTACTGCTGTTAGACCTGGTCACCTGGTCACCGACATCATTTTGATGTTGCAAAGTGAGATACTTTCAAATTCCAGACCAAGATCCCACTTGAGAAGGTGACCAAGGACCTCTGGAGTATGCAGAAGGGGCCAATCTTTGGAGCTAGTGGTGCTGGCTTCATTCCTTACCGTCACTTAATCTCTTTGAGCCTCAGAGTCCTTATCTCTAAAATGTGGAAGAGAAGCTCTCCTCCTTGTCATTGTTGCAGGGGTTAAACAAAGTGTGATAACGTTTGGACGGGTTGGTCATCTCCAACGTACTGTGAGCGTATTAGTTAACACTTTTCTTTGTGCTTCCCACACACACTCGTGACCCTTCAGTGAGTGGCCAGAACATCAGGCCACTGTCCGAGGATGCGCCCAAGTGATGAGTAGGCATCCAGGTGGCCCACCTGCCCACTTCTCACAGAGGGTCCACAGTCATGGACCACCATCACTGGCATCCCCTAAGGAGCCCAATATAAGTGCAGATCCCCAGACCAGCTGATTTGGAAACCCCAGAAGTCTGACCCAGAATCTAAATCTTTAACCAGCACGGCAAGTTTATCAAGTGAGTCTGATAAACACCAAAGTGTGAGAATCATGGATCTAGTGGTGCCCCCAAGAATGTATTAGTTGATTCATTTCCTCCACAAACAGTAGGTGGGTACCTATCTCATGCCAGGGGCTGTTTGTGGGGACAGAGTCTTTGGGAGCAGGGGAGATGCACGGGAGAATGCCTCACTCTGACGTCACATACCAAGTATCTAATGAACACATGCATCCAGTCCTGAATTCTGTAGGCCACAGGAGGGGCCAAGCGATGAGGAGGTGGCTGGGATTCAGTTTTGTTTCCCCCTCTTAGAGGCAAATCTCTGCACACGCATCATCTTAGCTATTGCTCACCAGAGCTCTGAAAGGCAAAGAAGGAAACCAAGGCTCAGCGAGGTTCCACAACTTGCCCAGAGTCCTGGAAAGTCAGTGGTGTGTTGGGAAATGATCGATCGCAGGCTCTCAGGTGGGGGAGGGAGCCCTGATCCACACACCTTCTCCGCAGGGTCTGGATAAAAGGACAGAGGGCCACAGTCTCTGCACACTTTCCTGAGGGGAGGCTGAGACCTTGCATGCCCAGTGTCCCTGGGTCACCACCACGCCATGCCAGCTACCATCTGCCCTTTTTGCTGGAGAGCTTTGGCATGTTCTATCATTCAGGTCCCTCAGGAACTGGCACTTGCTGCCTCACCAGGCCCAGGGCAGATGGTGTGCAGCTGACGGACGGCAGCAGCTGGAACTCAAGCCGAGAATGCTGCAGATCAGCCACACCAGGACCCTGCAGAGGCTGGCTGTGGACAGACAGGCCTGCGCAGTTGTGAGTGCTCAGGGTCAAATAAAGGCCTTTCCAGGCTCCTGACACACCCAGGGGGTATCATAACAAGTCTCAGCATCCCCACAGCAGGGTCCCCCCAGATGAGAATGCTGTTGAAATGAGCGCCCCCAGGTGTGCAGCAGCTGCCCTGGAGCCAGGCCCTTGGACATGCCAGATGGAGAGACGTGGGTTCCTTCCCCTCTTAGAAAAACGAACTGAGCTCCCCCAGCTCAGCCCTGCGGGGGGCGGGGGGTGAAGGTGGGGGTGGGGGCGCAGCATTGGCCCTGAGAAGCTGAGCCGGGACAGGTGGAGCAGACCTTCATGGCCAGGTCTGGCCAGGCTGGTGCTCAGGCTGGGACGGGTGGCACTGAGGCGTGAAGGTGCCCAGGCAGCCCTCCCCTTCTCGGGCAGACTTCCTTGACTCAGCCTGTCTTTGACACACAGAGGGGAGGTTTGGAGGGGGGAGGGGGAGCTACAAGGAGCCAATCACTCTGCACCGGAGGAGTGTGTGTGAGTGTGAGTATGTGTGAGTGTGTGTGCGCGCGCGAGCGCGCGTGCATCAGCGGGGATTTCTGTGATAGAAGCAGCCAGATTCCGGAGAGAGAGAGAGAATAGGAGGGGGAAGAACAAGGCGGGGGGCGGGGGAGAGAAAATTGGGGGTGGGAGAGACAGACGGAGAGAACAGCAGTGGGAGAGAGAAGCACGGCAGAGGAGAGAGAGACGAAGAAAGAGGGAGAGAGAGAAAGTGGAGGGGAGAGCAGGAAGGGAGGGAGAGCGAGCGAGAGCAAGCAGAGAAAGGGGAGGAAGAGAAAGCAACGGAGCAGGAGGGTGCGCGGCGCGGAGACAGCAGAGCTTAGAGGGATGGGGTGAGGGCAGGAGGAAGCGGAGGCAAGGTGGGGGCCTCAGGCGCCTGCAAGCCAGGATCCGAGGGCGCTAAAAGCTCCCGGTTCAGCGGCTCACCCGGGCGCTTTCCCGGAAGGTGGCGCGGGGCTCTGGGGTGGCAGCGCGCCCTCCGGGGAGCCATGGCGGCGGGGGCCAGGGGTCGGCGGGCGGCGGCCCCGCCGAGGGCCTGAGCCGGCGGCTGGCTTGGCCATGGCGGCGCCGGGTTGCGGGCCCTGAGCGCCGGCGGCGGGCGCGCACCATGAACTCGTGGGACGCGGGCCTGGCGGGGCTGCTGGTGGGCACGATGGGCGTCTCGCTGCTGTCCAACGCGCTGGTGCTGCTCTGCCTCCTGCACAGCGCCGACATTCGCCGCCAGGCGCCGGCGCTCTTCACCCTCAACCTCACGTGCGGCAACTTGCTGTGCACCGTGGTCAACATGCCGCTCACGCTGGCCGGCGTCGTGGCGCAGCGGCAGCCGGCCGGGGACCGCCTGTGCCGCCTGGCCGCCTTCCTCGACACCTTCCTGGCCACCAACTCCATGCTCAGCATGGCTGCGCTCAGCATCGACCGCTGGGTGGCCGTGGTCTTCCCGCTGAGCTACCGCGCCAAGATGCGCCTCCGCGACGCCGCGCTCATGGTGGCCTACACGTGGCTGCATGCGCTCACCTTCCCAGCCGCCGCTCTCGCCCTGTCCTGGCTCGGCTTCCACCAGCTGTACGCGTCGTGCACGCTGTGCAGCCGGCGTCCCGACGAACGCCTGCGCTTCGCCGTCTTCACGGGCGCCTTCCACGCTCTCAGCTTCCTGCTCTCCTTCATCGTGCTCTGCTGCACATACCTCAAGGTGCTCAAGGTGGCCCGCTTCCACTGCAAGCGCATCGACGTGATCACCATGCAGACGCTTGTGCTGCTGGTGGACATCCACCCCAGGTGAGGGGAGCCCCAGGTGAGGGTTCTGGGAAGAGCTGGGGAGGAACTCGGTGGCAGGAGGAGATCTTTGTCGGGGGAAGGGGTCCTTGTCTCCTCCACGCTCCAGTGTCCGGCCTTGGGCAAGCCCCTTTTCCACTGAGCCTCCATTTCCTCTCCAGATAATTGAGGTGGGGGGAGGGGCCAATGCTGCCCGTCTTAAGAGCTTAAAGCGTCAGCAAAGCAGGGCCACCAAAAAGGTGAGTGAAGCCATATATGTGCTTTTTGAAGCATCAGGGTAGAAATCACAGAGTCGGAACTTTGTTGGACTTCTTACACTTATTTTATGTGCTTGTAGTTTTCACTTTAAGTAGCATATGGGAAGGCAGTGATCTCTGTTCGCTGCTTAAAGCCTTTAAAAGGTTCTAATCAGGCCCGGAGAGCCTGGCCTGGATGCTTAGGGAGCTCCTTCAGAGCTCTCCAAGCAGGACCTGCTGCTCCTCTGGGTCTTGCCTTTCTCTAGTGTCTGCGCTGCCTCTGTCTCCTGATCCTGAGTGTGTATCTCCTGATCCTGTGTGTGTGTGAGTTCTTGGGCTATACCTTCCTCTGGGCTCCTTAAAGGAGCATCTGAAGGGGTCTGAGGGGACTGGGGGCTCTTCCTGCCCTTCCTAGCCAGCACTGGCCTGTGCTGGAGCCCAGCGGGAGTCACCCCTGAGACTCCCGGGACAAAACCTGTCCCCCTACCTCCCCCCTCACCTGGCTGCTGTTTCTCAGGAAGGCGGCTCAGAGCAGGCAGTTCTGGTGCAGGTACCCTTCTGGGAATGCCTGCCATCCCCCAGAGCCTCTCAGGGAGAGAAGGGCGAAACTCTTTGCTGAGGTGTCCTGAGCTCACCTCAGCTTTCCTTACAAGAAGAGGAAAGTGAGGAGGGAAAGAGCTGGAGGTGTCTCTGTGGACGTTGTTGTTTTATATCCCATTGTCCTAGGGAAGGGCTGGCTCCTCCTCAGTTGCCCAGAGCTAGATAAGGGGGGGTTGGCATCCATACAGCACAAGAGGGAGCTTGGGCCTAGGGTGAGACCCCCTCAACCCCAGGGAGAAGCAAGCTCCTGACCTTTGGTCTGTCAGAGACTGTTTGAGCAAGGTCTGTCTGAGCTAGGGCTCCTTCAATTCTGAGTTTTTCCTGCCCATGAGCAATAAAAAGAAAAGTCCATGAACTTCACTGTGTCTGCACATATAAGGACTTGCATGTGTGTATTCACTGTTCCCCCTCAGAATGGCCCTTCATGATTACGTGCTGGACCAAAGCTGCTAGTCACGGAATCTTTCTCACAGAAGTGCTTACAATATGCACACGTGAATGACCTGTAGCACATAGACACCTCGGCATGTGAACCCATGCATGTGATTGTGTCTGCTTCACACACACAGTCCCACGTGTTCACATATCACCCACATGTTTAGCAGACAGGTCACCGCAGGAGCACATGGCGCAGGTGTGGCGTGCATGCACACTGATGCAAAGACACGGTCTGGCTTTCTGCGTGTATCCGCGCAGTGCGCATCGTCATGTAAGGGAATATGCTGCAGCCACAGTTGCAGAGCTGCTCCCCTTCCTGTCAGCCAGGGCCGCCAGGAGGACCTCCCTTTAGAAGGCGCATTCAGAGGGTGACTGGACTGCTCTCGAAGCTGCAGGCAATGTTGCTTATCTCCTGAGACCTGAATGATTCCCATAGCGGGCCCTCTGCTGAGAGTCTAACAGTGGAGGAGGGACTGAGCTGGGAAAAGAATCAGTTCTTATTTAGATGAGTGCAAACCCCGTTCCTGCTCTTCCTCCAACTTCCAGAACAAGAGGGGCGGTGGCTTCTTTTCAGCCTGTTTAGGAGGTAGGGCGTGCTCCACTCTGCAAATCTCTCCTGGACTGCAGAGAGTTCCCGGGGTCCCAGGAGCAGAGGCAGCTGCTCTGCTGGCCTCCTGTCCCCTCTTCTCTCCTCCGCTCCTCTCTGGGGCGGCCTTGACCTCTTCGAAGCTCCAGGATGCTTGAGGAGCTCCTGCTCCCAGTGCCACGGGGCCCTGCAGGGCCAAAGAACAGAGTCAATCTGCACTGGGGAGAGGAAGGGCTTCTGGGGTGAGGATTCCCTTCGGCCAGCTCAGACAGGCCCCACTGGCCGAGGGCTGGCCTGAGGTAATGGAATAGTGGGCAGATGTGACGGCCCTGCCCCTTCAGTGAACACGACCTGCCTTTCTCTGTGGGGTCAGTCTGCAGAGTGAGAATGTGGGCGATGGGCCACACAGGAGGGCACCAGCTCCCTGACAGCTGATCCACGGGCTTCTTTTTAAGCAGCTCCAAACTCTCCCTCCCCACAAATGAGAAGCTGCAGAGCCAGCTCAGGGGGGCTGCCCTCGAGCCCCCAAACCTTAGGCACTAAGGCTCCAGGAAGATCACCGAGCCTCCTGGGCCAGGTTGGTGCTGAGAGCTGGGGACTCCTGGGGGTGCCAGTCCCTGATCGGCAGAAGCCAGGCTTCCTTATCTGGACAGCCAGGGCGGCAGGTGGGGGTCTTTGTTCACTGGGAGTTTTAGTTGACAGCCACCATGTTAATAGTCTCCTGGGACTTAATTAAAAGGGACACTTTTTGAGTTCCTGGAGGCCCAGGGTGGCATCTGTCAGGAAGCTCCCTGGTGGTGTCTGCCCTTCCCACAGTGTTTAACGGGGCTTGTGGCAGGCTGGACTCCTTTGTTGCAATACCACCAAAAGACCAGGGGCCCCGAGAGACCTTCCCCACTCCTGCCTTTCCGTGGCGGTTTCTCGAGTTACTACATTCATAAAGCTTGGAATTCCTGATGTTTATTACCTGGTCCTCCAATTGCTAGCTTGCTCGGTTCAGTCCTCCCAAACCACAGCTCTGGACCAGTTATAGCCAGATCCTCTCCTGGGGCCACCAGTGACTTGGGGTCTCCCCTGACGTGGAGACACAGATGGGGAGTCCGGCCATGGACGCGGCAGCCTGCTCTCCCAGGGCAGCGGAGGGCCCCGCTCGCCGGCGCAGGTTAACGATTTCCCGGGGTAGCGTGCTGGTGAAGCACACTCACCCTTGCAGGCGAGGGCTTCTGAGAGCGTCAGAACTGTGGCATATTTGTAGACGGAAGAACCCGTAAAGATAACCTCCCTGTGCCCCTGATTTTGCAGATGAGGAAGCTGGGAGATGCAGGAAAGGGAGCACTTGCCAGATTTAACAGATCCAGAATGTGGCTCAAGCCGAGACTCACGCCGGGTCCGCGCCTGAGGTTTGCGGACGGGGCGATAGTGCAGACGGAGGCTCACAACCATCTCTAGAAATGTTTAGAAGTTCTAAACTAAGCTTACAAACTATTAAATGAAATATGTTCTATCCTCCTACCTTGACAAATGTGTATTTATAACTCTTTGCAAGGCTGGATTCAAATTTAGAATTTCTCAGGCTCCTTGGGGTTCAGCCTTGCGCATGGTGGAGAGAGCTGAGCTGGCTGCAAGCAGGCAGTCCCTCCCTTACCTGCCTCGCCCTGGCCCCCACCAGCTCTCCCCGGCACAAAGGCTAGGGTGTCCCCTGCACGAAGTGGACAATCCAGGTTGTGCATCCAGGTGTTGCTCAGCAATGCCACCCCTCAGTGCTTGCCAAGCACACAGATGACATTGTTCACCCTGAGGAGGATGGGCCCGGGGAAGATGCCTGCTTACGTTCTGGAAGCAGCATCAGGGCATTTGGGCGAGGAATTCCATGTTCCAGGTATGCAGAGCTTGGTCCAGAATGGGAGATGTGGGCTCTGGGTGAGCACATCCCCTTAGCCCTATAGGCTCTTGATTTCTTGAGGAGAGGTGTGGGCCCCTCAACGTCCAGGGCCCAGGACAGGGGCTTCTCTTGCCAGGCCTGAGGACGGGACTGCTCACACCAGTGTCCTGACTCCAAGCTCAAGGCCCTGCTCAACCATCCGTCAGCTTGCTCTCTTGCCTTTTGTTTCCTTCCCTTAAAAGCCAGAAAACAAATCTGGATGGCTCTGTGAGTCCTCGGAGCATAGCTCAGGACCGACTCCAAACATCTGGGGATCTTTCAGCATCCAGACCCGTTGCATTTTAGCCATGACTGTCCCATTGATGGACTTCAGATACTCCAGAATTCTCCATCCCCTCTGCCGTATCACTGAAGCCTACCGGGGAACCTCTCTTTGAGCCCGCATGTCAAAATGCTGGGGAGCCCATCTCTTTTTGTCACAAGGAAACTGTTTCCTCTCACAGACCATTCCACGCTCGGACCCTGGGTGAACGTATCTGGCCAGGTTGCCTTGGGGGGCTCTGAGGCTCTCGCCCTCTGCACTGTGGATTCTGTCTGGGAGCCAGAGGACCCCAGCTGCCCCGACCAGGGCCAGGAACATCTAGAGAATGCGTTAGTGTGGCCAGACGCAGCTTGCTCACTGCTCAGTGATTCCATCATGGGAGTGGGGTCTCGGGGGAACACCCCAGATCTTGGAGTCGAGAGACCTGGAACAAGTCTTGGTTGTGTGCCGAACCCCCTGTCCCCTTGGGCATGGCATACACCTTTCTGGCCCTCAGTGTCCTCATCAGCAAATCAGGAAAATAAGAGCTCACAGGGCCGCAAGATTTGAAGGAGCTCAGTTTTACAAAGCTATGGTGGAGAAAAAAATGACAGCAAGTGCAAAGTGATGTTATTGTTATGTTGTTCTGGGAGCCGGCAAGCTGCCCTCCTACTGGGCTTAAACAATAATGTTGCTAAGTGAGAGGGTTGCACTGCTTCCCTCGGGCCTGGGGGCCTGCCCTGCCCTCCTCATTCCTGTGGCCTCCTTCTTCTCACCTGGAAATCAGGGGAGGCCCCGCCAGGGAAGATGGATCATCCTCTTCTTTTGCGAGAGTTCAGGGAAGCAGCCGTGTGGTTCCTGGCTGGGAGCACCAGACTGGGAGTCAGTGACGGGGTGCTAACCCCGCCTGCACCCAGCTCTCTGAGTGGGCAGCTCCCTCTCTTCTCGGAGCCTGTTTCCCCATCCGTGAGCTGGGTTGGGTGAGTGAGAGGATCTCTCACACTCCACACAACTGTAGAGTCTGGGCAGTCTGTCCCAGAGCGGAGAACTGCCGAGGTCCACGCAGATGTTAACCCCAGGCACAGCATCCACTCCAGACACCCTCTGTGTTCCTACGGCATGCCGGGTGAGGTTAAGATTAGGAAACTGCATTGGCAGAGTGCTTGGAGGCCCAGAGAGGGTCACGGAGCCAGCATGAGAGTCCAGACCCAAGCTCAGAGCTCCTCTGGCACCAGCCCTGGTGACAGCTTTCTCTCTCTCTCTCTCTGTCTCTCGTAAATGCACAGGAAAGGAAGAGAACTCTTGCAGTGGGAGAGAACCCTGTGGTTTTGGGGTTCAAGGTAGTGCTGGAACATAGTTATTGTCCAACAAATGTAAGTTGAATGAATAGTAATCATTTAGCATTTATTGCGTGGTTACTATAAGCCAGGCACTGTCCTAGGTACTTTTTGGGTGTTAGTTAACCTTAATAGGACCCTATGAGGTAGGTTCTCTTATTACCCTCATTTTAGAGATGAGAAAGCAGATGCACAGAGAGGCTGTGTAACTTGCCCAAGGCCCTACAGCAATTAAGTGGTGAAGCCTGGATTTGAACCCAGAAGTCCGGCTCTGGCATTGCATGCTTAACCACTACACTATTCACAAGAAAGGACTCAGGCCAGTGGAAGCTTTCATGGCCTCACATCCATTGACAAGCCTGGCCTTGTCTGATAGGCTCAAGGTTTTTAAGGCCCATTGTTAAAAATCTGTTTTAGAACAGATTTTTAGTATCATCTCTTTTGAGAAGGCCACTTAAAAAAAATGATTGAGTCGTAATTTTCCTAAGATTTTTTGGTTCTTGTTTTTGTTTTTGTGAGGCAGATTGTCACTGAGCTAACATCTGTGTCAATCTTCCTCTATTTTACGTGTGATCATGCCACAGCGTGGCTTGACGAGCAGTGCTAGGTCCACGCCGGGGATCTGAACCCACGAACCCTGGGCCACTGAAGTGGAGTGTGCAAACTTAACCACCATGCCATCAGGCCAGCCCCTCCTAAGATGGTTTTTCAAGGTTGTTCATTAATTCATACAACATACACCTATTGGGTATTTTCTGGGTGTAAGACGTTGAGTTTAAAACTACAGGCACCCAAAGAAATAATGCATCTGCAGAGTGCTTGCTATTTAATTTTTCCCTTGCTGCACAAAGCCTTGTAAGAACAAATAAAATTAATTTCCCGTATATTTTTACAGCATAGAGAGTGACACTGATCATTCTAGCCTGAACAGTGCCCATTATATTCCTTTAGAGTCACTGAAATATTTCTGTTCGCCCTTCTTAAGGCCTCAAAGCGTTTACCAGCTTCTGTTTTTATATTCCTCACGTCTTTAGGGGAAGATTATGTGGTGTGGAAGGGTGAGGGGGTACAGCTGGGTTCTCAGCCCTTCAGTGGGGACTCAAGTCCCTCCTTAGGGGGCCAGAGGAAGCTCCTCACTCCTCCCGAGCTTGGTAGCTGGTGAGTCATTTCCGTCCCTGATAAACGGTAGCTCTAGTTACAGCTATTATGAAATCCCCATGGGATAAATGAGGAACCAGGTTCAGAGAGGTTGAGTGACTTCCCCAAGGCCACACAGCTATGAGGGCAGAACCGGGACAAGGACAGCTAAACCAGAGCTCTTTCACTCATCTGGGTTATTCTAAAGCATCTGAGAAACAGACAAAATTGGCAGGGTAAAAGATTAGAGGAGGGCCTGGCCCCAGTACCACCACCAGTTTCTTTGGGGCACCCTTGATAAGTCATTTGTATGAATTTGGTGCTCATATTGTAGGGGATGGCCAGAATACTCCACTCTCATGGGGTTAGTGCACCATGGTGGCTCAGGACACCCAGCTCGTGTCCCAAATCTCCAGCAATTCTCCACTCAATTGCACTGAAAGTTTTAGGGGAAATATTTTAATATTAAAATAAACAGGCCTGTCTTGTGAAGAATGTGCTAAACACGCTGCACCCGGGAGTGACCATTGTCCCGGGATGGAGAAGGCTCCTAGGATGCGGGACCCTGAATTTTAGATCCAGGACAATGTCGGGCAAAGCAAGATGAGTTGGTCACCTCCCTGCACCCAGACCTCCGGGGTGGGGACTTAGGTGTTTTCTCCGTGCCCAGCCATATCCTGCCCCTGTCACAAGAGCCGGGGGACTTTGGTGGAAGACTGCACAAATCAGTGTCAATGAGGTGAGGAGATTTACGATGGCTCTTGCTGTGTGACCTTAGGCAAAGTCACCCTTCTGACTCCGCCCCTCCCCGGGGCTGCATTCTTCAGAATCTCTGGATAAGATGATGCCCTAGGGGCATGGGGACCCCAGCTAGCTGGGAAGGGCACAAGTCCAGGGAAAAAAAAATCCTGCAAGAATTTCAGGGCCTTCAATCCAAACTAATGTGGAACTGTCCCTCTGTGATCAGAAATCTGATGAAGAAGAGTTTTGGGTGAGTACTAAAATGATGGTTCTTGTAGAAGGAAGGGGAGGCTGCCCTGGCATTAACGCTGCGCACGGACCTGGCTCATGAATATTCTCTCGACTCCTTGCTTTCGTTGAGCAGACTGGCCTATTTTTGGAGCCAGGGCACCGCAGCCCAGGCCTGGCTTTGTCAAGTTATCTTCACTTGCTGGGCAGCTGTGTCCACAGTCTTCCTCCCTGTTCGTTTTTTGGGATCATGTGATTTATTTTAAAAGTAAACAGTAGAGACACGTGCCCACATTGGGCCCCGTGGGATGGAGCATGTGAGACCTTCTGGCCGGGCTTGCCTCTCCACGCTCCTCGACTGTGGTGATGCACGGACCCGCTGCTGCCCGTGCATGTCTCTGTGGCTGCGGGAGATGGGCTGCAGGAACCACTCCTCTGAGCTGGCGTGAGATGTAAGTTCTCGAAAGGTCCTGGTGCAAAGTGAAGTCAGAAACGGTGTGGTTAGAGGCATAGGCAGCTGGCTCCTGATTCCATCCTCGAGGCTGTGTCCCCGATTCCCCAGGGACTTGGCAGTCCCTTAGCTTCACCGAACTTGGTCTCCCAAGGAATCAAGTGATTTCTCCCTCAGTGACCCCACAAAGTGGGGTCCGTAGCTCCAGGCAGGGCTGAGGTTTGGGATAGAAGACATGGGGCTGAAGATGTGGAGGAAGGTGGCCCCGGGCCACACTGTGCACGCAGAGTCCAGGCTGCCCCAGGTGGAAAGAACCGGCTTTACGTCACACCCACGTGGGTTCAAATCCCACCTCCACTTACCAGCTGAGCAAATCATTTAGCCTCACACAGCTTGTGGTCTTCATTGTAAAACAGGGCAGGTAAAACACGTGGCAGGTAAAACGCACGTGGCAGCTAATGTGCACCTGGCAGGATCAATTGTGGTAAAGATAAGAATTAGAGTACTTAGGGACCTTGGACTTGGGGCTGGCAGGTGATCAAGGAAGGCTATAAGTAGTGATAAGAAGAATTTATATTGCTTTGCACTTGGGCTCTGCCCTAATTGCTTGATGTGCCTTATGCACTGAATGCGTTTCCTGCATCTGTGTGCTTCAGGCGTTTGAATCTCAAAACAGACCTTTGCAGCATTTTATTATATCACTATCCACATTTTACGGATAAGACCCTGAGGCTCAGCGATGTCGCACAGGGTGCCCAAAGTCACGCAGCTACAGCCAAGACGTGACCTCAGGTCTCTCCGGCTCCACAGCCCAGAGCCTCCACTCGAGGCAGCTGCCTGTGTCTGTGAAGAGGGAACGCACTGTGACCCGGACAGGCCCGCCCTGAGTCACCTTCTCCCCTCTCTCACGCGCAGTGTGCGGGAACGCTGTCTGGAGGAACAGAAGAGGAGGCGGCAGCGCGCCACCAAGAAGATCAGCACCTTCATCGGGACCTTCCTCGTGTGCTTTGCCCCCTACGTGATCACCAGGTGAGCCTGACCGGCAGCCGTGAGCTCGCCGGCCTCTATTGGCCACAAGTTATCTCCAGAGGGTGTGTTGGGAGGCAGGAGTGAACTTGACCAGCGTGGTGAGAAGGAGGGTGCGGACTTTTTCTCTTCAGCCTCTAATTCTTTTGGATTAGACTCAGAACCGAAAGAGTTGTGAAAGTCTCTCCCACTTGATTTCCAAATCACATCATTCGGACCCTTTATCCTGGGCCCAGCCCCAGGAGGCCCGAAAGGAAAGGAAAGGGGAGAGAAGGCAGAGGAAAATATCCAGTGGTGGTTGGGTTCCTACTGGCCACTGCCTGCAGTGTAGACACCCTACTCAACAGCAGGGCCGCATGCCATCTGCTCAGGGAGCAGGGAGCACGCTCTGTGCCCAGCCAGGTGGGCTCGCCTGTCCTGTGGCCCCGGGGACCTCCCACTGTTAGTCCAGGCATTGTCAGTTTGTCACGTTCTCGCCTCCCAATCCCCAAACCCCCATGCCAGCCGAGGTTGCAGTGTGCTGGCCTCAGGGCTGTGCATGCCAAAAGCCAACTGCTCGAGCTGCAGAATCTCCCCCGCGTTTCAGCTGGAGAAAAAAAATATATCACCCAATCAGTTTCATGGACTGAAGGGAAAGGAAAGCTCCACAATTTTACATGCAAACTGGCTTAAGTATTTTGGAAGCTGACAATAAAAAGAGATTTTGAGTTTCTATGAGCAGGTAGATGTTGAGCTTGGGAAGTAGGATCTGTGCAAAGTTTTGCGTGTATGCGTGAGAGAGAGAAAGAGCTGGCAGGGACCTAGAGGGGACCCCCTGCCTCGCTGTCCCCAGAGACAGCTCACAAGCCCCAGGGGGAGGAGGAGCCCACTGTGGCCAGGTCTCCATGTGTCTCCCTGTCTGTCCTACTGAGCTGAAGCCTGGCTCCCTGTAGCTCTAGCCACGCTCCCAATCCTGCTTTCTGCATCACAGGAGAACGTCTGTCCTCTACTCCCAGGGGCCCTGCCGATTTTAGACAGCGAGCCTGGCTCCCCCGCAGCAGCCCCACTTTCTCTTCTCCAGACAGCACAGCCCCAGAGTGTCTTCCACTGTTTTTAGTGGCACACCACCCATTCTGGGGGAGACCTAATGGGCCTACATCTCGCTTTAAGCGTAGGACCTAGAACTGTCTGTAAGTCTCTGGATGGGTCTGACCTGGGCAGAGCAGAGCCATCAGTTCTTCCTTCTCGAATTGTCCACCAGACCTCAGCACTATGGCCATTTTGTGTGGCCTCATTCTTTGTGGTGGGGCTGTCCGGTGCATTGTACAATGTTAGCAGCACCCCTGTCTTCTACACACTACCCGCCAACAGCACCACTCTCCCCGCCTGTTCCCCAGTTTTAACAACTAAAAATGTCTCCAGACACTGCCAAGTGTTCCCTGGAGACCAGAATCACCCTTGGTTGAGAACCTCTGGTCTAGGCCTGCCACATCCAGCCAGGATGCTGGAGCTTGCCTAGATCAGGCTTTTCCACGGGACACAAAGCCGAGGCATGGAAACAAAGGAGAGTGGGCCTCCACTGCTCTCCAAGGGTGGGGCAGCAGAGTGGTTACCAGCACGGGCTCTGGAGCATGCCCACCCAGGTTCAAACCCCAGCTCCACTCTTTCCTGCTGTGTGACCTTGGCCAGTGATGTCACCTCTCTGAGCCTCCAGCCTCTCATCTGTAAACCAGAACGGAGCAATGCCTGCCTCTTAGGGTTGTTGTGAGGGTTAAAGGGTGTTGAGCACGGGGAGCATGTCGCACAGGCCTGGCGAGGATGATGTCTGCAGTCAGCGCCCCCGTTCTGATATTCACAGCACCACCCACGGTGCTGGGCCTGGGGACTGGCTGGCGCATGAAGTGGAGGGGATTAAATCCTGTGAAGAAAGATGCCCTGGGAAGGGAGGGCGTGCAGACACTCCCCCTCTTAGAGCCCACAGTGAAGGGAGCTGTGCGCTAATGAGGTGAACTTGAACCCTCAGAGGAGAACGGGTAATGTGGCTCCAACTTTAAACTGTTGGATTTTTCTCTGGCTTAATATTATTTCCCAACAAAATTTTCTTTTTTTCAGATTAAAGCTCGGTTCTCTCTGATGGTGCCCAGAAAATAATGTTTGAGTAAAATTAACGGTAGTTTCACGACTCAGTATGTTCCCTCCAAATGGATTTGATGCATTTTGAGTTTTAAAAACGTTCACAAAACTATTTGTCTTTTATGGAGATGAGTGGCAACTTATTAAAGAGAGAAGGCTACCCCCAGTCAACGTCATAAATACAAAATTTGGTTCTGGTGATACCACCGCTCGCCCCACTGCCACCCCCCCACCCAGCTCCTGCCTCTGCTTTCCTATATCGACCAAGGAAGCATGCTAAGCAAACCTCATAAAATATGCAAACAGACCCTCATTGCATATCATTTCAGCACACGTTTCTCCAGCACCTTCTCTGTGTGGAGCTTTATACCCTTCAGAGGAGGCATGGATTGGTGAGGTCCTGCAGGAGACGCCCTCTGAGGGGGACACTGACCCAGTAGATACGTCCATCTCTCCGGGATGGAACATCATGTCATGTCACTCAGGACGGACAGGGTCTAAGAGTTCCAAGGCAGGAGTCAGCTCTTCTGGCTGGGGCTTCCTGGCCCAGCCTTATGAAGTGGGCTTGGCTCTGCAGGGGGCGCAATCCAAGTGGAAGGGACAGCATGAGCCAAGTCTAGAGTCCTGAGTGGGAGCCACCAGCCACAGGTCCCTTTGGAGCACCTGAACATGGCCTGTCCGAACTGAGATGTGCTCTAGGTGTAAAATGCACACCGGGTTTCCAAGACTCAGCATGACATAAAATACATACATAATTAGTACTTTTATATCAACTGCATAGTGAAGTGGTGATATCTTGGATATGTTGGGTTAAATAAAATATGTAATTCAAATTAATGTCACCTGTTTCTTTTCCCACCTGTGGCCCACATCCTCCTGTTGGATGGTGCTGGCCTGAAGTCAGAGAAGTCTGGGGTGTGAGCTGTGCTGATGCCCTTGCTCCCAGCTCCCTCTTTCCCTTGACCTTCAGCCATCCATGTCATCCTTCACGGACCAGGAACCCACGGGATCCCCATGCCAACCACCCTACAAGGGTGCTCAGAACTTCCTCGCTCCCTTCCTTCCCTGCCTAGCGTCCCGCTCAGTGTCAGAGTTTATCCAGGAGCAGACAGGGAGCAGCCAAATCAGTGTCTTCCTCTGTGGGGTTGTGTGTGTGGAGGCAGGGGCCCTCAGAGGGCCTGAAGGGGAGACATCAGGCCCCAGCACTGGGTGGCAGGGAGGGGAGTTTGTGGCCGGCAGTTTCTCAGGGTCAGTCCCCCTGAAATTACAATCTCTTAGAACCACTTCCCGCTGTCCACCTCTCTGCCCCATACCCCTTCCATGATTGACAGGAGAAGAGATTCTGAGGAGGTGCCTAGTCTTTACGGTAGCTGGGAGCCCAGAGAGGCTCACCCCAGGGAGACGGGCATGTGTGAAGTTGCTCATCAGCCCACAGAGGGCCCTCTGCGCTCCAGGTGTGTGCTGATCATGGTCAGGATTCCATCAGAGCTACACTTCCACTGCCAGGGCATCAGAGCTGCCAGACAAGGGAGGGGAGGGGCGGATTTGCTCTGACACTGAGCTCCAAGGAGCCTCTCCCAAAATGTCCCATCTTACTCTGAGTCAGGGCTAGGAACCACACATTGATGGTGGGGAGAAATCAACCTCTGGTAAGGAATACATAAAAGAATCCACACAAGGCACTCAGCACAGTCTATCCTATTGTCACCAACACTGGGATCGGGGTCACCAACACTTCTGGTGGCGACTGACTCTTCAGCGTTCTTCTCAAGCTGGTGGACATGACTACCCCAGTCTCAGATGAAGCTGAAGACAGACTCTGCTCTGGAAATGTAGTTGAGGATTTAGTTTCTTGTAGGAAATGATTTTTAGGGAGAACCTAGAGCTGTGGGTTTTAGAAGTGGAAGGTTCCTTAGCGATCACCTCATCCAGGGAGGATGAGCTGGCTGCACCCTGCAGGGCGACTGGAATCCATTGCCAGAGCGCGTATTGAGGGGGATTCTGAAGCCAGGCTGGGATTAGTGGAAGGTGCTATGAATGACTGGGATGCCTTCCTGCCCAAGGAGATGAGATGATGCTGTGCAGTTTTTAATTCCTAATCTGGTGCAGTGGTTTGCTAAATTGGCTTCACATTAGCATCACCTGGAGAGTTTTAAACCCAAAACCATACCTGGACCTCACACTTGACCAGTTACGTTAGACTCTCTGGGTGTGGGGCCTGGCATTGGGGATTTTAAAATCTCCCAGGGGATTCTAACCGTGAACGGTGTTGAGAACCGCAGCTCTAGTGCACATACACATACCCATTTTACCAATGAAGAAACTGAGGACTGGGTCGGGAGGGGCGGTTGAATTGCCCAGAGAGAGTCACACTCTGAGTCTGTGGTGTGGCTGGGCCTCCAACCTCAGTGGGCTCTCTGCTGGCTCTTCAAGCTCTCAAAAAGGTCCAGTGGGTCTTTGTATAGCCCAACCCTGTCCTGCTTCCTAGCGCAGGTCTGTGGCTGTGGCATTAAAGCGTCTGGCACACAAAGGTTACTCCCTGACCTCCTTCTGCCGTATATAAATATATATGGAGAGAGAGAGAGAGAAAGGCTGAGAAGTCCCACAATCTGCCATCTGCAAGCTGCAGCCCCGCAGCCCCAGGAAAGCTGGTGGTATAACTCAGTTTGAATCTGCAGGCCAGAGAACAGGGAGCTGATGGTGTAAGTCCTGGTCCAAGGGCTGGAGAAGGTGAGATGAGACATGCAGCTCAATCAGAAGCAGGAGAAAGAGGGGCGAATTCCTCCTTCCTCCAACTCTTGTTCTGTTCAGGTCCTCGAGAGACTGGGTGATGCCCACCCAACTGGGGAGGGCGGTCTGCTGTGCTCAGCCCACTGACTGAATGCCAAGCT